TATTCTTGGTCTTAGCTTTCCTCTTGATGGCCGGGTATCCCCTGGTAAGATCATTCAGAGGCTTTACAATGGTGGCATAATTCTTCACAAACCTCCGATAGTAGCCACTAAATCCAAGGAAAGTCTTAAGCTCTCTGTAGTTTCTGGGGCGCGGCCAGGTAGTGAGTGCTTCTACTTTATCCGGATCGGTACTCACACCTTCTTGGGACACAATATGACCAACATATTTCACTGAAGTTCTGCAGAATTGACACTTATCAATGGAAAGTTTCAGCCCATGGGCCTCCAACCTGTCAAGTACTTTAAGAAGTCTCTCTTCATGCTCTTCCAAGGTCCTTCCAAATACAATCAGATCATCCAAATAGACCAAGACTTGCAGTAAGTTCATATCCCCTACAACTTTCTCCATGAGGCGCTGGAATGTGGCGGGGGCCCCAGAGATCCCTTGAGGCATGCGTTCAAACTGATAAAACCCCAATGGGCAGATGAAGGCGGTCTTCTCCTTGTCCTCTGCTCCCAAGGGGATCTGGTAGTATCCACTTCGAAGATCCAATACTGAGAACCACTGGCTTCCCAATAAACAATCTAATGCATCTTCTACTCGGGGCATTGTGTACTGGTCAACCACAGTACGGCGGTTCAGGGTGCGGTAGTCAATACACATCCGAATTTTCCCATTCTTTTTTCGGACTACCACAATGGGTGAAGCATAGGGGCTGTGGGACTCGGAAATGATGCCAGTTGCAGCCAGTTCCTGAAGGTGATGTCGCACATCATCCATCTCTGAAAGTGCAATTTTTCTAGATCTCTCCCTGAAAGGTCGGGGATCATGTAGTCTGATGTTATGCTCAACCCCTTTGGCACACCCCACATCCCACTCATGCAGTGAGAATACCTTGGGTCTTTCAGAGAGCTTCTTCCTCAGGCGATCCTTCCACTCTTCGTCCAAGGGTGAATCTCCAAAGTCAAACCTTGATGGATCTATAGTCTGAACGTGCGGTTCACACTGGGGACTCACAATCGATTCAGTCTCGAAAAGATCTGCTATCTTTTGCCCTTGATTCACAATAATATCACGACTTGTTTCATTCGCAATCAGTACTGTGACTGTGTCCTGGGATGCTGCTGGTAAAGTTATAACTCCACAGGGGACCAGGACCCCATCAGGAAGCTCTCCCTCAGTTGGTTGTTCTACCATGGCGAACACTCGTTTATTGCCTTTCAGCCAGGTGCTCATGACGAGCACTTCCTGCTCTGTCCTTGCAGGCACTACTAAAGGGTTTGCGCCTGCATACCTTAGAGTACCCATTGGTAGCTCAGACATCTCCTGTTTAGCATCTTCAATCTTCCTATAGGCTTCAGCACAAAGGGTATGGATCATCAGGGTATCCAGATATTGGTCCCCAGCCCGTCGTCTGCAGTATTCTGCGAGCACCTTGAAGAGACTGGAGTTGGTCCCTATCAGTACTGACACATCAGGGACCCCTTTAGGGTCAGGGCATATCAAGGCTACTGTGTCCACCTCTTCTCTTACCCCTGCCACCTCCTCAGGGAATTCCAAATGCACTATGACATACCCTTTGTAGGGATATTCGTTCATGCTGAGACCACACAGGCCAAGGCCAGTCAATGGCTGGGTAGGCAGGGGGCCGGGGACCTGTTGGTAGAATGACTGGAATATAATTGTCACCTGAGATCCGGTATCAAGCACTGCTTTGCACTCCGCCCCTTCAATCCTTACAGTGACCTCTGCTCGAGGCCCTATCAGTCCTGAAGGGATCCTAGCTGAGTGGTCTTTTCTGGGGAATCCGTCAAATCCTGGGGGTCTGGGTGGTCCCTGTCCCCCGACCGTCTCATGACTGATTCTCAGCTTTCCATAAACTAAACTGGGGTTTTCCTCATTTGGGCAATGTGCAGCCCTGTGCCCATCTTGACCACACCGGTAGCAGAAGAATGATCCTCTCCTCTTTTGGCTGGGTGGGATGGCAGCTCCAGGCGCTGACTTATCCATCAACACAGCCTGAGGTTCCTCATCCCTGCAAATCCGCGCTTGGTCAATGGCTCTCTGCAACTCAGCAATCTGTTCTGTCAGGACCTGAACTTTCTGGGCACTGTCTCCACTGGTGTTCACAACCAGCACGCCGGCTGTTTGTCGGGGTGCAGCGCTGGTTGGCTTAGGCATCTGGGCCTCCCAAAGCCCACTGGCAGCCTGCCTTTCTTCCTCCTCTCTGACCTCCTTTATCAGTTGGGAGTATGTAGGGGGGTGTTCCTGTCATTCTCTTAGCCGGAGGTGTAGTAGAATCGGGCTGTAATATGCAGTTCCTCTTACAATTTGAGCCAATCTGGTCTGGTCCATCTGCTCAGCAGTCACGGCTCCCCTAATGACAGCTCTCTGCAGCAACTTCTCCAACCTCTGTACATAGGCTGAGAGCTTCTCTCCTCGGTGCTGCTTAGCATTGAGAAAGTTACAAAAACTGTCTTCAGGACCCTCCATGCTCCCAAAGGTGTGAGTGAGGGCCTCTAGGCAGTCCTTTACACTGACCTCAGGGTTAGTGAGCTTCAAGGTGCGAATCACATCTACAGCTGGGCCCCGGAGACTGTCTACTAAACATCTTCGTTTTTCTCTGTCTGGCACAGCCCAATGCTCTAGCATTTCAGTGGTGTGTTCCAGCCAGGGTTCAAACTCCTCTTCCCCAGGGAATAATCTTAACTTACAATAGGAGCTTGCCATAGCATGGGATAGCACACATTTCTCCAAGATTTGCCCCAGGGCTTTTGCCCAATCATCTGCTGAGGTTGCTGCCTCTGAGCTAGAGGCTTCTGAGCCAGGGCCCAACAACCCTGACAGACAAGCCATGATACAAACAGTAATTTCCTTGAGTACAAATCACAATTATTTCCCACAACAGCAACTCACTCAACATGTGCTTGCGAGGGGTACTGATCCAGTAAATCCTGGACGAGCCCCCAAAATGTAACCCTTCTGCCGTGTAGGCCTGGCAGTAACCAGGACTGGGTTCAATATCTTGGGGTCAATCTCACATAGAACAGGCTCGAGCCCCCACCCAGTAATATGGGAAATTCATGCACCCCTGGGCGCCTCTGAGAGGCAATGCTTCCCCACTCGCAAGCACTGAGTCTGTCCCTGGTCCGTGCCATCCAGAGTCCCAAAGTTCACCCGCAGGGTTTCACCTCCCAACCTGGGTAGAAATGGAGGTGTGGGGATAGATAGGGGGCACCTTATACGAAACTCTGCCACGCTCCACCAGCTGTCTCGTTCCACACCTCTGGACGCTCCGCTGGGCACCTGCCGCCACTCCTCGCCTGCCGCCACTCCACGCCACGCCGCTGGTCGTCACTCCTCACCTGCCACTGCTCCATGCCGCACCGCTGGTCGCCGCTCTTTACCTGCCGCCTCTCCATGCTACGCTGCTGATGGCCGCTCCTCGCCTGCCGCCGCTTGTCGCCGCCACTTCACTGGCTGCAGAGAGGCTGGGGCTCGGGCAGACTCCTCAGGGAGTTTGCTTTAGGTCTGTCCTTAAAACAAAGGGGGAAATGTGCAGGCTGGGCCAGTCTTATAGCTCACACCTGGCAAGTGTGAAGCAGGCTGACTCAAACCTTTTAATCCTTTCCCCCAGCTCAGTTCACTCAACTCTGGAAGGGGGGAGGCTTGTTATTCCGAGACCTCTTACCATGATGGTGGTGTCTCTCCTGCAAGCAGTAGTGGCATGTTTTACAGTTCCCACATTTAGGGGTAGCATGATTAGTTACCTCCACAACAGACCCAAATTATATACAATTCTCCACATTCCATTCCAACACTGACCTTCCATCAGCCCTGGCTGAATGGGATTTACATAGCCACACCTCAGATTCTCTTCTGAACAGTATTTACATGTCAACAGTTAACAGTTAATTACCTTGCAGAGCTAAACAACTGTAGTGGGCACACCCACCCCTCCTTTTATCTGGCTGACAGCAAGCAGCAGTTCAGCCCCTGCTTACATATAAATGTATTTTCACTGTCCTCTGCCTGTAATCAAGATGGTCAGACAGAGGAATCTACACTCCTGCATCTAGAGCAGGCCTGATTTATACACTGCCTCTGAAACACATTGTAAGAACATATTTCCAGTGCACATACATAGATAACTCTTGGTATACATTCTGGTCATGCATCACACAAACGGGGACCACCGTGTCACCGTTTACATGTGGTTCCTTATGTGACACCTCCTTGATATATGTTATGATGACAGGGTGTTGGGGGTAATGTGAATCAGGCCTAATATGAATTATAATAGAGAGAGCCATCTGTCAGCTGGCACCAATGGACTCACAGGGCCACACAACTCCTCCCCTCAATTTTTTAATCAAAGATAAAATTCAACAGATCTCGAGGAAGCTAATGGGAGAGAGATGACCTCATCTGCCACACCTCTTAGGTTTACTGCTGCACCTTTCCATTCTCATGGGCTCTCCCAAGTCCCCCCTACACCCCAGCATCACTTCCTGAACTCCCAAATCCTTAAAGCACACAGGTCCTGATGCCACCCACCTGGAAACTAGTGCACCCTGTAAGTAGCAATAACTTTCAGTCGGTGAAGGAATAGCAGAGAAAATGCTCTGCCTATGTAGGAGTACCACAGTCTAATGAACCAATCATAGATCTGGGAGGGGAGACATCTAGAATTCTCTTCTTAGCACTGCCAGAGGTCTTGGGGCAATTTTCATAAGTGCTTAGGCTTTTCCCTGCAAGCTATTAAAATTTGCTTCTCCGCCTTCTGTGGGAGTCATGAGGACTGATCAGACAGTATTTGCAAAGCACTTTGAGGATATCAGAGAAAAATAAATATCAATATCCATAATATTATGTGTTTACAATTGAACATTTTTGCTAAAACATTCAGGTGTTACTCTTTATTACAAAGAGAAAAACAAAAGAAACCAAAACAGAGTCCCAAGTTATAAATGCTTCCTGTATCTTTCTAACTTTTTAGGAGTTAAAGCAAGACATTTCCAGCTTTCGTTTTGAAGTCCTGGGTTTACTGAAAGGAAACAAACTTTTTAATTTGCAATCTTCAAAAATCAGCAAGGAAGCCGCTTCTTTGTCAGAGACTGATGAAAAATGTGAGAGTGCAGGAAAAGAGAAAGTAAAGAAAAAGAACTTCAGCCTTTTTGACATTACTACACTGATTCACCCAAGATCAGCTTCCATAGCCTCTGAAGCACATAACATAAGCAATGGTGCTGCACTGGTGGTGTCCGAGCCCACAAAAGAGAAACAAAAGAGGGTGAATTTTGTAACTGATATAAAAAGTTTTGGATTATTTCATAGACGATCGAAAACAAACTGTCTGGAACTGAGTACAAATAAAATATACTCTGTGTCTGAAGAAATTTCACAACAGGTAGAAGAACAATGTGAGAAAACTACTGAACTGGAAGGGGAAGAACTGATCATGAGCTGTGAATTAGGCCTCCAAGGTCTCAGTGAAAAGTGCATGCTAACAAACAAGCAAACCAACAGTGAGACTCTGGATTCACAGCATGAGGAAAAAGATTGTGCTTTGGAAGCTGGGCAAACAGAGGTGCAGGATTCAGACCCCTCCACGCCTGAAGATTTTCTGGACAAGGAGTTGGACATTAACAGTGACTTGGAGGTGAACGAAAAGACAGTTGTTCAGGAGGATTCTGTAACAACAAGGTTGTGATGAGTATGGGAATGAATATATACAAATATATATATTTTGCACAGTGCTTTTTTGCGCAGGATGTTTTAAAAGTTATATTAGAACGTATAGAATTACACTTTATAGTATTCAACAACAATGGCACATGAACTTGTAACATAATTAAGTGGGGAAAGAAAATAGAGGAACCTTCTGTTTTGTAGCCTGCTTCAGCTTTCACAATTTGTTTTACATTTTTTAATAAGTGGAAGCATCTTGTATTCTTGTACTGTTGCAATAACCCACAGAAACTTTTTAGCTATCTTTTTTCAATTAAAACAAATGCAGTTTCTCTCATATGATAGTTGACTCCTATGATAAATATTTTTCTATGCAAATAAAAAATAGCTGAATCTTGTAAGCCTTTACTTAACTTTTTTAGTTCCTTCAAGATAATGGACAGCATAACAATCCATAGGCTGTTTCTGTCAAAACAATTATTTAAATGGGTAGAAATTTGAAATGCTTCAAATGCTATGGAAATAAATTAAAACATAAAATATCATTTATTTATTGAAAGTGTTAATTACTGTACATTATGAATAATTTTCCTATTTGATTATTTAATTATATTTTTTCCTCTTCCACACATTTATGAGCCTACTGATGGCAATGTTAAAATTTAATTTGCAAAAATTTTAGGTTGTATAAAATGTCTCCTTTCTTATAGTAAACAAAATGTTTATGGCTGCAATTCTATGACTGTTTATTCCAAAGGAATCCACAATCATTACTAACTATTATTTCTCCAAACATCTGCTTTTCCAAATGTGGACAAACTATGCACTTAGTATATGCTCATTAGCTTCTGCTTTCATATTACAACTGTATTTGCTAAGAGCAAGAATACTTCAGAAAAAACTCCTCCTAAATATTAGAAAAATATGACAATCTGCTAGGAATATTTGAAAACAGGGGTTTTCTGAATCATCACACAGTTTGGGAGAACCTAATGGATGATTTTATACAAAATATTTAGACATTCAAATGTATGAGAGAAACCTGATAGTATTTTTCATAAATGACAAGTGATTTATTGTCTTAGTCAAAATGAGTATTTTTAAAATTAAACAGTATGTTTCTTTTTAATCAGTGGCTGGTGTCCTATATTATTAAGATAGAATAAATATAAACAATCTAAAGAAAGGCCATGGAAACTTTTGAATAAATCACAATAAGGTATCCTTTGCCTTCTTAAATTCCTCTTGTTGTGATAGGCTTTATAGTTTGTTTTGTCCAGTGTGAGGGGATCCTAGCATGCAGAATTATCTTAGATATCAGATCCCAGGAAGTACATAACATAACTAAAACAGATGGATTTAATAATGGCTGGTATCTTCCCCCTGTTTTTGTGAGCTGAGCAGATACCAGACCTTTCAGACACATTTTCTACAGCTCCTAAGTTTCCCCTACAACATATGAGTGTCTTTACATGTGGAAAACAAGTAACCATAAACTCATGTCAGTTTTGCATGCAAATGTTGGTTTGGAACAGTCTCTCCATTAAAAACATACCTCACCATAGTCTATATTTGTGTCCTTAGTTTCCTTTGATTTTTAGGCTAGCCTCACAACAGTTCCCAGATTAATATAGTTATCCCATGATGTGGCAGCAACTACAGTATTGTAGTCATTATTTCTTTTCAAACAATGTTACCTTATTATATTTCTACTATACAAACCTACTATCCAGATTGAAAGTCCAGTTGTTCTATTGGCATCAATGGGAATTTGTAAAGCAATAGTAACTGTTAGTGCAAATTATATAGCCTAATACAACTGTATGAACATTTCACAAAATATTACTTTTACCAGAGGAGGCCCTTTAGCAGAAGCCATACTCTTCACACTGAGCTGAATCAAAAAGAGGACCATGAAGGCACCTCCTTTTCTCTGGCGCTTCAGAAAGCAGTAATCCCGGTCACACCTCAACGTGCTAGGTGCTATATAAACAGAACAAAAAGATGGTTCCTATCCCAGGGTATGTCTACACTACAGCATTATTTCGAAATATCTTATTTCAAAATAGTTCATTTGAAATAAACTATGTCAAAATAACACATCTACACATAAAATGCAATTTGAAATAGCATTTTTCTATTTCAAAATAGTGCAACCACATTGAGTGGACTCTGAATCAAAATGAAGGCTGGTTGGAACCAGCTCATGCAGGGCTTCAGGTCAGGAGTGTCTTTGTGTGGCTGCTGCCTGAGACTATCTGAGGCTTGTGCTTAAAGGGACCTCCACCCCGGGCAGCTGGTTCTCAGCTTTCCCTGCTTGCTTGGCTACCTCAATGAGGGACAGAAAAGCATTTGTGTCTCTGTGTGCTGTGGTTGCCCTCACTTGGGACACCAAAGCACTCTACAACATGGAGCCGGAGCTGCTCCTGGGCACTCTGGTGCTTCTCGTGAACGCGTTGCTGCGATCCTGGCTGCACTTTCAGCAGGCTACCATCCGGGAGGTCCATCAGGGGGCTGTCAGTATCCAGGAGGCCCTGCGGGAGAGCTTCCAC